ATGAAAATTCAATTCCAATGCATCTCAGTTAGGGTTCCAGGTAATATTATTAATAATCATTTAATAGAAATAGAATCCTCTAACAGACTTTTGATTGGTCAACTATCTTTCGGTTAATTATCTTTTGGTTAATTAACCAGGTTAATTAACGCCCATCCCTAATTCCCGAACACCCTCCAATCAAAATTCAGTAAAATTCCGCTTCCTTAAGCGTTTTTTTTCTATTCAAAGAAATATATTTTCTTGTAAAATAATATCATGAGATTTTACATTTGAAATTCTTATTAACGGTAAGGTTTATAATAAAAAAAAAAAATCACATTAAAACACGAACTTAAATTAAATTTATTTTTTTTTAGATACAGAGTTGGTATCTTATTCGCAAGAAGCTATTGATAAAAAAAAAAGAAAGGTAAGTACGGGTTATTAATTCTTATATTTATCATTTTTTTTTTTTTTTTGTTACATCAAACTTATGATTATTATATTCTTTTTATTTTATTTTATTTTTTTTTTTTTTTAGTAAATATGTAACTTATGTGTTCCGGAGTCTTCCAGTCATTTGCTATTAGAGTTGGAACTTATTTAGGGGTTTACAAATTGTTGATGGAAAGAAAGATTACACATGTGGAAATTAATCCTATGAACCGAGAGGAACCATATACATAACAACCACAACAAATCCATTTTTACCTCTTCAAATTTGATCCAGAAAAGCGGATTGATGATGTATACATTTCGAACATGCCGAAATGTAGTCTCTCAAAAATCACAAAAATAAAGGTGGTTTAAAATCTTTATTATTAAAGAAGATCAGCAAAAATTGATTGAAAAATAAAAGAAAAAAAAAAATAAAAATTGATATATATTTTACGAATAAATTTGTTTTTAAAGATATCTTTACAAAGATTTATTTAGTTATAAAATAAAATAAGTCTTGGGTTATATGTTTCGATACTATGTTAAACAAAAAAATATGGGACACGTGGTTGTGAATATGCTATAGGCATTAATTTCTAATCTTCCAGGAATAAAACATTGGTTATAGGCCCCTTAGAGTCAATTTCCCATAAACTCCTATTTTCTAATCCTATTCTACTACCCTAAATCATCAATGATAAAATCACTTCATGTAGAAGTTGAACTGGCAGAATCGCCCAAATAGTAATAGCATAATTTAAAATTTAAGTCAAATCCGAGAAAAGTATTAATGAAAATGCATATACAAGTTCTCACCAAGGTACAATTAGAACCAGATCGCAAGTCATCCTTAGTTCAAATATTAATCTTATCACTTGAATGTCTACCAAGAACAAAGAAATTTTCACAAAAGTATATGTCTAAGCAGGTTTGGGAAAAGTTGAGCCCAAATATCATGAATTGAACGTTCGAATTCGTTTTATGAAGTAATTTCGGCATTATCAATTAAAGGTTATCTATTTTCAAGAAATATTAAAATCATTTTATAAATTAGGAAAAGGAATTCCTAAATTCTCAAGTTGGTGAATTTTTAATTAAAGCAGGAAGAGCATGGGTAATAAAAGCTAGAATATCAGGAATTGGTATCACAATTATGTTCTTATATTTTATAAGAGCATTCTTATAATGCATCCTATTTACCAGACAATAATACCCCTTTAAAATCATGAAATACTTGTTTTACAAATTGAGACAATTACAAGATTTAGCAATTCAATTATTCTCTATTATTCCAAATGCAACTACTTGTGAATGAGTTTGGTTATCTATTAGATGATTTATGAAAAGAGACAAAATCATTTTAATTTTAGTATAATAGAATCTTTAACTAAAATATATCAATATTATATTACAAATGAAGATAAAATTACATTATAATATTATAAAAAAAGACATAGATAAAATAGTACAAATGGTTGAAAATTCATTGATTAAAAGTTATAAAGAAGAGGAAATAAGTGATAATAAAGCTCAAGTATTATTCAAATTAAATGAACTTATGATAGTTGATAATTTTAATACAATTGAAAAATTAAATATAATGTCAGAATTTAATTTAAAACTGATAGTTATTATAGATTATATTTTACATTATAAAAAAGATCAGGTTGTTTCTGATAATAAAGATTAGAAAAAATTTAATATATAAGATATTATGTGTGATATTTTATTTTAAGAAAAATATATATATGTGAAACTTTTTTTATTTTACTTTTTTTTGAATATAAATAAGCATCTTTATTTGCTTTAGTTTATATAAAATATTTTTTTCAGTTGGATGAATAGGTGAAAAGATGGTAGAAAGATAATAAAAAAAATAAAGTTTTTTTGCAATTTAAATACTTTTTCTTTAATAAAAAACATTTAATTTTTCTTTAATTAAAATATTTATTTAAAAATAGATAAATTTGTATAAAAAATAGTAATTTTTTATTTTTTTTGATCTTTTTCTCACCTTTGATTTTCCTATTAAAATTTGCTATTAAGCCTTAAGATTGATGATTTTCATTATCTATAATAGTAAATTTTTTTAAATAAATTTTTATTTTTTTTCCTAATCTCCTTTTTCTGATTTTCTTTTAGAATTTATCATTGAACTGAATTACTATAAGATTTTTTTAATTTAATTTATTATTTTTTTTTATTTCTTCTAATTTCTCTTTTCCTCTTTTGATTTTTTTCTTAAGACTTACTATTAATATCTAAATTGCTAATTTCTATTATCAATAAATGATAATTTAATTTATTATTTTTTTTTCTAATCTCTTTTTCCTTTCTCTGATTTCTTTCTTAAAGCTTGTTTTAGTTTGAATTGCTGATTTTTATCATTAATAAATAGTAAGTTTTTTTTTAATTTAATTATTATTTTTTTTTTAATTTCTCTTTCTTTTTTTTAATTTCTTTTTTAAAATTTATTATGATATCTATATTACTGATTTTTATTATTTACAAAAGATAAGTTATTTTTTTTTAATTTTTTCTAATTTTCCTTTCTTTTCTCTAATTTTTCTTTTAAGACTTATCATCAATATCTAAATTGCTGATTTTCATTATTGATAAATAGTAAGTTTTTTTTAAATAATTTATTTTTTCTAATTTTTTTTTTTTTAATTTTTCTTTTATTACTTGTCATTGATTTGAATTGCTAATTTTCATTATTTATAAAAGGTAATTTTTTTAATTTAATTTATTATTTTTTTTTATTTCTTATAATTTCCCTTTTTTTCTTTTGATTTCTCTTTTAAGACTTATCATGATATCTGAATTGTTGATTTTTATCATTTACAAAAGGTTTTTTTTTTTAATTTAAGTATTTTTTTTAATCTCTCTTTTTTTCCTCTGATTTCTTTTTTAAAACTTACTATAACATTTGAATTGCTAATTTTCATTATCTACAAAAGGTAACTTTTTTTAATCAAAATTTTTTTTAATAAAAAAAAGAAAACTAATTATCTCATTTTATAAAATCTAAAAGTTTTATATTTAATTAAATGTAAATTCTTATAAAGAGTATAGAGAAAACGTTAGTTAATATTTTTTTTATTTTTTTTAAAAAATAATCCTCTGCTTACCTTTTTATTAGAATTTAAAGGACTTTTAAGGTTTAAAATAAAAGGTAAATTTCTATAGAAGGAGAATAAAAGCATTAGTCAAAATCTTTTATTTGTATTAAAAAAACTAATAATCAATTCACCTTTTTTTTATAAAATTTAAAGGTCAATTTTATATAAATTTTAAATTTGATATAACCATAGAAAGTATATAATGATCAATGTAAATTTTTAATTATATTATAAAATATAATATTTACTATAATGATCAATGTGAAATTTTTTTATATATAGTAAAAAAAAATTTTTAAAAAGGATTAAATCTCTTTTAGATCCATTTTCTTAAGCTTTTTTTTTTATCATTTTTTATTTTTATTTTTATTTTATTATATTATACAATACTTTTTTTGATTAGTTAAAAGTATATAATAAAATTATAAGGCATAAATCTTTTATAAATGATAAATGATAAATAATGAGCTATATAAATCATATAAGTCATATAATATTATATGCTAACATTGATATATACTATATATTTAAATAAAATGTTATATAATTATGTATTTTTTATTTATATTAAAAGTTGCAACTATTATAATAATTATAATTAAAATAAAAGTTACAATTATTATAAAAATTACAATTATAATAAAAGATACAAAACTTTTTAATTATAATGTTAATTTAATTTGACTTTGAATTTTAATTTTAACTTTATATATAGTTTTAATATCTAATTTTCAAAAATGTTAAATAGATTATTGTAAATTTTACATCAGCAATTTTCTACAAATTTTTTATATATTATTCAAATTTAAATAGAGAATTTAAAAATTCTTTTGCATATATTTCTGAAATAGTTATGTTAAATTACTTTAAAATAAATACTATATCTTATTAATAATTTTTATATATATAAAAAAATGATAAAATAAAGTGATTTTATTATTTTATTACTAAATCAGAAGATATAAGAAAATCTTATATTATTAATTTAATTATTAACATACTTAATTAAAGATAGTGTTGGCATTGGACTCATTCCAATTGATTCAATTGGACGATTTAAACAATTAGACAATTGAATATAGTCTAATTGGACTTGGTCCAATTGAACGTCCAATTAAATTTAGCCAGGTCAATTATAATGTCGATCATTTAATAAATTACTAAAATTCTAAAAATTTTAACGGTAGTTCACTAAAATTCTAAAATGTAACAGTATCGGTAATATGATCAAATTTTTTTTTTTTCATTTTATCTTTTTCCAAACGAGTTTTTTTTTTATCAATTTTTACAATTTTTTTTATTTTTTTTTGACTACGGAAACCTATTTATGTTGCTAAATATGTGGAATTCCTTTTCTGCTTGGACTTAAAGGTAAAATACTAATAAATAATTTCTTTACATTTTTTTTGTTGTTACATTTAATAATTATGAAACTAACTCTTTGCAGTAATTAGTAAAATGCGGGAAAAACATAAGCTTAGTGGATATTTTTTGATTTTGGACAAAAAATCAAACCGGTGGAATAACTTTGCTGTTTGTATGGATTGTATTCGAGTATTGGGACTTGATGAAGCTCAGAAGCAAAAATTCATAAATACAAAACGTACATGTGCAAAGCATCTTGAAGTTTGTCCATATTTTGCTGAAAAGCATACTAAAGAGGAAATCACAAATATTATTAATGAAGCATCGATTCATGGATCTAAAAAAAACAATAAGCGACAATATGTAATAAATGAAACATCCGATGGTGAAAAGGAAGAATTTAACAAGTTCGGGACCTCAAATCTCAATAATTTTTTTTATAAATCTCCATCCATTACAAGAAGCCATACAAGTGAAACTTCTAACATATCATATCAAAGTTTTGGTCCGCTTGATAATTATATGTATCGTGAATTAAAACCGGAACAGGTTGATATGTTTGAGCATTTAATATTAAATGTAACAGTAGCATGTGGTTTACCATTTAGTTGGGTTGAAAATTCAGCAACTAAGTCTTTATTTAAGTGGATTAATCCTATGCTTCCTTTACCAAGTCAAAGGCAATTAAGTGGTCGTATTCTTGAAAAAAGCACTAATAAAATAACGAAAAATATTCTTAAAGAAGCAATAAATGATAAATTGGGTGTAATGTTAGCATTTGACGGTTGGAAGAATGTTTCAAAACAAAATTTATTGGGCTCAGTATTATTTAAATCATCGAATGATATGATTATTTAGAAGGTAGAAGATATAAATGGCAAACGATGTACATGGGAAATTGTTTATAATGAAACTATAAAAGCTTTTGAACAACTAGAACAACAAAACATAAAAGTAAATGGATTAATTACAGATTCAGCATCAGAGAATGCAGCAGCAAGGTACAGTAATTTAGTAATTTAAATTATTTTATTAAATTATAATTATAATATATTAACTTAATTAATTTAATATAATTAATTAGGAAACGATTATGTCTTAAATTTCAGGATAAATTATTTTTGCCTTGTTTTGCACACCAAATGAACTTGTGTATAGGGGATATATTTAAGGAATCATCAAGCTTAAGTAATACTGCAGAAGAAGTTATTGGGATTATTAACTTTTTTAGTCGTTCAAAAGTTTGGCTTGAACGTCTTCAAATTGAACAAATAAATGTATATAAGTCACAAATTTCTTTAGTTTCTTCTGCTACAATGCGATAGAATTCTCATTACTATTGTTTTGCAAGTTTATTAAAGACAAAGGGTGCCTTACGGGTAAGCTTTTAAATTAAATTATTATTTTATTATTATTTAATAGTTTTATAAACTAAAAGATTATTATTTATTTAG